TCAGAGTCCAGTGTCCGCATGCACGCAGACCCCCGCATCCGCATCCTCACCTCAGCGACGAGGGAGAGCTTCCCCTGTCCCCCCACCCCCCTTCAGAGACCCCCCGTGCCCGCGGCCAAGAAACAAAAGGATAACATTCCTTGTGGAGACAGAGAGAAAATAAGGCTCCCTCCATCCCTCTACACCTTCTCGTACCCAGCGCACAAGACCCAGCCCGCTGCCAGGCCATGGCACTCGCACAGGGGTGAGCTGCTTGACAGACCCATCGGTCCCCAACAGACCTTCCCTGCAGTCCTCGGTGCTGCGCAGGCTTCCTAGGCAGGGGGGGGGGGTCAGTTGCTTGGCTCAGAGTCATGCTGTGAGCAATTAAAGCTGTTAGAACTATTTGGATATCTTGCTTCCTCTTTTTATAGCTGAGTAAATCTGGGGCTCGTAAACCAGGTTAATAGCACTAACTAGAGCCCAGCTTCTGCTGCACAGCCTTTCCAGCTGTCATCTTTGCTTGCTGTATCCTCAGATGCTGCAGTTTTCGCACCAGAGCTGCATTGCTTCTGATGCACCACATCCACATGGTGCAGTATTGCAGCTCACCTTACTGCAATCTGGTGTTAATTGCTTTGCCATTTCATTGTACAAAATGGATTCAGGAGTACTAAAACGCTAAGAGAGCAGGTGCCTCAAGATTGCAGCTCATTAATATTTCCTTACAAAGTAAATAGAGCATTTTTAGAACTAACACTGTTCATTTTCCCCTCTGGCTGTTTGGCAGGATGTGTTCCCACTATTAAAGGGGATGGACAGTCCTATTACGACACTTCTTATCAAGCACAGTTTAAGGGTGAATGGAGCCTACCTGCAAAGCCAAGTGAAAAGGTAACAGCACGATTTTGGGGAGGACCAAGACACAGTTAAAGAGCAGCATATTCCCATGTTGAATTCTGACCTGAAAGGGTGGGATTTCCAGATGGATGGAAAGACAGAGAGGGGAAACAAAGGGGTTATGTTTTAAATGGCTGTTCTGTAGCTCTCTTGGCTTCCCTTCAGCATGTGTCTCATATTAAATTTGGGGATCCCAGAAGCAGTGGATCTATGAGCGAGCAGAAACACGCCTACAGTGCCCCAGAGAAGAGGACACACAGGTATCATCAGGAGAACCTGATGGGCATTCCCAGGAGCTGCTCTTTTTGAGGAACATTGCTGGTTAGGCAGCTCATATCTGGTATCTCGCAGAGTCTACGACAAGGAACATGCTGCCTCCCAGATCCACCGCACGAACCTGCAGCTGGGGGATGATTGTGCCAGATTCTCCACCTCAATGTCAGAGCTCTTCCCAGCACACAATCTAGGTAGGGTAAGCCTGTAACACAGATGCAATGTGTACAGACCACTACTGAGGCTTATGCTGAACAGTAGGTTTTATCACCTGGGTTTAGTGATATAATTATAGATAAAGATATAAAACGTTCATATAATATGTATATAATTTTATATTTTTAATGTTTTATAGTTTTTATGTATTCAGCATCAGTGTCGTCACTGTGAGGCTCTCTTTCGTCCTCGCTCCGCTTCCCTGGCAGATTAAATAGCTGTATTCATTCCTGTGCTCTGCTGCATGAGGAGAAACTGCTGTAGCTGTAAATTGTTCAGAGACTGGAGTGCTCTGACATCCTTCACTCTCACTTTTGCCAGAGCCTGTAACTATTGCCCATCCAAACAAATATGCCTCATACATCCCCAGAGGTGATGAAGACCCTGAGAGAAATCAAGCATGGGCAAGAACAACTACTACACAGCTCTCCTACCCAGAGGTCTGTTCCCAGCTTTGCTGTGCAGGTGTTTCTCTGGTGGAGACCCTGTCTTCTTTTATGTATACTACTCTGGCACCTAAAGGCGATGCTGTTGTCCCTTCTCCCCTCCCTGCTCTGGGTTGTGCCAACAGGGCGCCTTTCCCAGCTACAGCCTGTTTCTGTTAAAGCAGCTCTTGTGTTCTCCAGACTGACAGGTGGAACCTCGCACCGAAGCCTGACTTGCTACTGCAGAAGCATCGAAGCAAAGTCTGCTTGGGAGATGAGCATTCAGGCTCCTGTTTCTTCAGTACAACACAGCAGGCAGACTATCAGCCACCTCGCCAGAGCCAGAGGGTGATGGCAGACAGCAAGAGCCACCGTGAGAGCCACATCCCCTTCAACTACCACAGTAAGGCCACGTTGCTCAGACTCGTGGTGCCAGATGAAGCCCGCTGAGGTTCTCCTAGCTCTGTGCAAGGGTGTGATGCCTGGTGCTCTGAGAAAGGAGGCAGCCCAGACATCTCGGATTGGAGATGGCAGGAAAGCACTGGTGCAGCGTCAGTGTCTTTAGTAAAATGAGACTGCTACCCTAAAACCAGGCAGGTCTGTGCTCAGCCTGCTGCTGCTTCTCACAACGACTGCTAATCTCAGGCACTTTCACATCCCCAAATGACATCTCACTTACCAGCCATCTCCATGCCTGTGCCAGCCATAGGCAGTCACTGCCATCATACAGCGATATTTAGCATGTTCAGGTGATGTGAGTGATTTCTGGAACATGAACCAGAAGCTTGATCTTTCTCCCTTGATACGTTTGTTTTTAGAAGTTGTTTTGCGTCTGTATTTGTGAGGAAGGAGAGGATTTTGATCAAAAGCTATGCTTATGCAACCTCAGGAAGGGATGCGGTTAGAGCTCGTCATGGAAGGCATTAAGAAAATCCTCCTCTGACGTTGCCTCCTGTTTCTGATGGCCAGCACTCTGCAGCTAAGAGAGAGGTCCCTTCATGCCATGTATCTGGTTTTAAGGCATGTGTTTTACTAAATGTGGAACAGATCAGAGTTGAACTGGTCTTTTCCTTGGCCTCAAACTTGTGGAGCAGTTCCATAACTAGCATATGGAGTGATATTCCTGTGACTTCCATGTGAATTTTTTCATTTACCTCCTCGCCCTGAGAATTGTTTTCTGTCTGGGCAAAGGTTTTCAGCAAAGTGCTGATAGCAAAGCCTGTGTTTTCCCCTCATTAATGGAAATACATGCAGATCTGTGACTGCAAGTCAAACTGTAAAGCTTTGCTGATGTTGCCTCCTAATGTACTGTCTTGAACTCACTTTTTATTTCAATTCCATCTGTCAGCAGATGAAAGGTCTGTCACAACCACACAGGCCATGCTGGTCCCACACAGACCGCAGAAACAACGACTCTCCGAAGACATGTTACAGCAGGTAGAGCCTTAATAGGCTTGGATTTATCACGGGGCAGCTTGGGGAAGCAGGATTATACCAAACGAAGCTGTAGCTTCCTGTTCCATTAACATCATCAGATTTGACGTGTGCTCTTGAGCCACTTGAGATGGGACAACCAGGCATGAAATCCTGTCTGCCTCCAGTCTCAAGTAAATGCTCTGTGGGGAGCAGAGTTGCAGCTGAGAAAAATCTTTGAAGGGAGAGGAAGGACAGGCAACCAAGTCCTGAAGCCAAGGAACATTGGAGGGAGGGGGAAGGTGATCCTGCTCCCCTCCAGAGGAGGGAAATTGGCATAGCTAGAGGTGTCCAGCCAGGGTAAATGTCTTTCTGCACCACCAGCAGAGAAGACTCTGCATCTTCCCAAGAGAGAGAGGATGCAGGCAGGCACAGACTGCAGCTGCCCGGGGGGGGTGACCCTTCAGGTAGAAACACAGGGCTCAGATGTAGCAGCTGCCTCCTCCCCAGCCCCATGCCCATCTGCTGAAAGCTTTTATCTCTCCTCAGATCAAATGCTCACACCTGGAACTACCCTGGAGGGCGCAGGACCTCTACAGGACTGAGCAGAAAGATGAGTTCACACCCAAGTCCAGAGGCCCAGCGGAAATCCGAAAGGCAAACTCCCAAGTGAGCTGCGTGCCCCTGGGGACCCTGAAAGGATACTATCCCCAGAGGAAGGTGGTCTTTGCACCATGATCTTCTCCCTTCTCTGGTGACCGCCCAGAACTTACTGCACTGTGGACTGCCTACACGTCATGTTACCTGTTAGCTGTCCTGCTGTGCTGCTCTTGGCCTGTCTGTGTGTTATTACAGGGAACATTTATTTAATGAATTGAACGAGGACACAAGAAGGTGTTGCGGCAGGAAGAATAAACACAGGGAGATTAGCCCAAAGATGTGGGTGACACATCTCTCTGGATTGCGAGACCCACTGAGAGCCTCTTGGCAGACACTGGGGCAGGAGGAAGCAGGTCGGGTAGGGGTGGGAAAGAGCAAGAAATCAGAAGCAAAGTGAGAGGCACTGTCAGGGCTGTGTGTGGGCTGGAATATTCCCTTTTTATCTGTTTGTGTTTTGGTGTCAAGGCCTGAAACCAAAGGTCAGTGAACAGTAGGGCAGAGAGGTAGCCCTCCCCAGCTTATGATGAGTGGGCTGTTTTCCTAGAGGTGAGCCGTGTATTTTTGTTGAGT